GTGCTCAGGAAGGGTCACTGAATGGGCGAGTGTCCAAGTAGATGTTTTTTTTTTTTTTTTTTTTTGCCACTGTAGACATTTGGTCCTCAGAGTGGCTCATGACCAGGAGTGTCATCCCATCTTAAAAAGGAGATAATGAGGCTTAGGTGAAGTGACTCACTGAGGAGACGCTTGTGCACGGCAGCAGGGAATGGAGAAGGCAGCTAGTCTGATCCAGGTGCCCGTGGTCTTTCTGTGAGGACCCGCTGCGCCAGGTGACTGCGGCAGTTACTCTCAGGGACCTGGGCCAAGGAGGTGAAGGACCACGGGCCTAGACCTTGGAGACTGGACATGAGTCCCTTATCTTTAGGCTGTTGGCTCTGTCTCTGTTTCTGTACACCCCCACCTCCCCTTCACCTTCTTAGCGTGCCCTGGACTTCAAGGAGAGCAAGGAGGCTGAGCCCCACCCACTGTGGGAGTACCCATGTCGCCGCTTGTCCGAGCCCCAGCAGATCCTGACCTTTGATTTTCGGCACCCGGTCCCCCTGCACCCGGTCCGTGCTGAGGGCTCCATTGAGCTGAAGAGGTAAGAACAGGTTCCAGGGTGCAGCAAGTGGGGGAAGAGAGGGTGGGGCCTGCTTTCTGTCTAGTTACTGCCCAGGTAGCTAAGCGCTTACTTCGGCTGCTCTCACGTGGGGTGGATGGCCTCCTTGTCTGGGCATTGCCCTTCCTGGTCCGAAGTGGCCCTGAGCCTCTAGCGGGTCCCCATAGCCCCTGGGTGTGTGCTGGTGGAGAGGGAGATTCAGAGTGGGCTTTGCGCATCCCCCTACATCTGCAGCTCCCCTTGAGCTCAGCATCATGACAATCAGAGCTGTAGAGAAACTTTTGGTTGCTATGGTTACTCATTGGGCCATTTTTCCTGAACTCCGCTGGGAATTAAAGCAGGTTAGGAATTGGTAAGGGCTGCTCATTGTGAGGCACAGTGGGGCCGTCCAGCTCCAGCTCCCTTCAGAGGGAGGAGCTGCTGCTTCCCTGAGGAAACACCCCGGCCCCGTGGTTCCTCTAACTGCTTGGCCAGGCTGCAGGGAGCAAGTGGGGCTTTGGGTTGTGGTTCTTTTTGCTTAGCGTTTTACCAAGTGGCCTTTAGCCAGGTGGTATTAGCAGCCTCCTGATTGAGTAGGAAGGAGAGATTAGAGGTTTCTGGAAGGCAGAGGGAAGCTGTGGCTATGCCTGCCCGTCTCTTGCGTGGCTGTTTCTATTTGGCCCAACATCCCCCCACCCCCAGGCCTGGGAGGAGCCATGGGGCCGTCCTGTGGATGGAATACCACCTGACCCCTGACAGCACCATCAGCACCGGCCTCCTGGAGTCTGCAGAGGACAAGGTAGTGCTGTGTACGTGAGTCCCAGAGCAGGCCCGCCCCGAGAGCTGGCACTGCTCTGGGTACCCCTGGCATAGGCAGCCAGGTCCAAACTCCTCCGTGGCCCCAGGTCACCTGGCCCTGAGCGGCAGCTTCTCATTGTGAGTTGCCCGGGCTGGAGGCTGACCAGGACGGGGGCTCTGCCCTCACTGCCTTCTTGTTGCTTCTACAGGAGGACTGTTGCTGGAACCCGCACTGCAAGCAGGCTGTGTACTTCTTCACCAGCCCGGACTGCAGAGTTCTGCGGGGCAGCCCTCGGACCGTCAGCTACGCCGTGGAGTTCCACCCCCGCACTGGGGACGTCACTATGGATTTCACGCTGTCAGACACCGGGGAGGACGGGTGCTGACCCTCACTTGTTGCGAAATAAAGTGGCTCAAGGGCTCTGGGCTCTGAATGGCGTGAAGGTCCCTCTCTTTTCAGGGCCCAGTTAGGCCTCTGGGCTCCAAGGAGCCCTCTTCCCTTTTTACATTTTTGTGCCCGCCAGTTCCTCGATTCGGGTGTGACGGGCAGCCTGAGCTACTGACTGAATTTGAAACCGAGGAGGGGCCAGGGAGCCCCCCCCCCCGCCCCCGCCCCCACCGTGGTTCCGAAGTGCTCAGAAAGCTCTCACGTGGCAGGGTCCCTGTGCTGTGCTGTGCTGGGAGCGGGCTGGGCCAGGCAGGTTGTGTGCTCTCAGCTGGGAGGGGCTTCTAGATCTAGGCTGGGATGCTGACTTGTGGCTAGGCCCTGGGCCTAAAAGACCCTGGCAGGGCTGTCCTTCTCATGTGTTGGGTGACATTATCCAGGCATATCCGTAAGTGTCTGGCCTCCATATGCAGCATCAGCCCGTGACTGAGACTTGACACCTGGACAGGAGGCTGCTGCTCAGAGGATAGGGAAGAGGTGGTCTCGAAGCATTTCCTGAGATGCAGACCCAGGAAAGCAGCCATCAGGAGGAGGAGCCAGGAGGTAAAGCCTTTTCCTGTGTGCCCCCATTCTAGCAGAAGGACCTCCCGCCACCTTGGAGGCCTGGGGCAGATGGGTACTCTGTAGCCAGTCCAGCCTGGCGCTTGCTTTGCTGGGGAAGGCCAGGGAGTCCTGAGGTGGTCCCAGCCTGGCTTCTCACTCAAGGTGCCCTTCGTTCTCTATTCCCACTTGCAGAGGGAACAAGGAGATAGTAGGAACCCAAGTGGCCTGGTTTTCTGGCGGTTCAGGGCAGATTTATCCTGTTCCCGTGCTGCTGGGGGGAAGGCAGGAAAGGCCGGCCCCCCACAGCCTGGCCCCAGCTTGCCACTCAAAAAGAGAACACCAGCCTTGAGCCTCACAGTTTTATTTTCTTATTATCCATCCTTCCGTTCAGCACCAGTAAAGGGAAAAAACACCTCTCTTTTCAAAATATTTTTATCAGGTGTAAAGATTGTTTTTCTCCTAGGGAAGAATCGTCTGGATATACATTTGATAATATTTTTACCAAAACCTTAGGTGTGCTTACCATATAAAACCCCTAATGTCCCATGAGGATACAATACAGAAAAAAATACAGAAATTAAAAAATTGTTTTTTTTTTCTTTTTTTAAAACAGTATTTCTAAATCTCAGCAAGTTAATACAATAGTTAAAAAGCATCAAGGTTAATATTCATACTTAAAACTCAAGGTGGTTTGGACAAATGGAAATGACCATTTCCTTCCGAAGCTGACCCCTGCCTCCTGGCTTCTGTGGAGGAGGTTGGACCTGGGGCAGGCATGGGGCCTTGGGTGGGGATTTGGATGACCCCTGTGTCCACCCCTCCTAGACCTAGATGCCACAGAATCTGAGATCCTGATAGTGTTTTCTCTTTTATAAAAAATCAAAATGGAAAAGTCTGGCTTGTGCACGGTCCTAGGAGTCCACAGCCTTGATGAAACGTGTGGTTGGGCAGTGGTGGCCTCAGTGCTGAGGCTGCGCCAGAGGGAAGGGCGAGGGGAGGTGGGATGCAGGCTGGCCCGGCTCCAGATGCCAGGGCCAGGCTGGGCAGAGGCGACCTTGTTAGGACAGGAAATGACCGAGGCACAGGGAGGTATGACTTGCCTAAGGCCGCCCTGTGAGTAGGGAGAGAAGCATGTGCCCCCTGTGCCGCGGCTCCCGGAGAGCTGCCCTGGGAGGGAGGTGGCTCCTCGGAGGGATGGAGGCTGGGCCAGCGTTTCTCTGCTTCAGGAACCCTGGCCTCTGTCTCTCCTGTTCTCCTGGACACGGCTGATTCGAAGCCTGAAGGCCTTGGCTCAGTCCTGCCATCCAGGCATCGAGCGTGTTCAGTTGGGCCCTGCCTATGTGAGCAGAGATTCCTGGCTGCTCCTGGGAGTGGGGGGCCCTCTGACCCCACGGAGCCTAGCCAGGGTCCTGGAGGCCAGGCCCTCAGGGGAGAGGCACAGCAGAGAGCCCAGGTGGGACTGTGCACTCAGGGTTGAGCAGCCCCTCCTGGCTCTGGACTCAGGGTGGGGCTGGGGGCTTGGTCAGGGAATGCTCCTGGCAGCGAAGCCCTCAGCCCAGACACTGCCCTGAACAAACCAGTGCCCCCGGGTGTATGGTTCTGAAGAGCCTCTGGCTGGCTGCTTGGCCCCCGTCTTGATCCCTCTTGCAGCTCAGGTGGGTGACAAGGCACAGCATCAGCGCACTGGCACCAGGAGGCTTCTAGTATTCGAAGGGTCCTGGTGCACTCCCCAGCCTCGGTGGGCAGAGCTGGCTCTGAGCCAGGTGGGCACAAGGTCAGGGCGCTTCAAGGAGGGGTGACAGTGGGGGTTGTCAAGAACAGTCCTCCGAGTTGGAGGGTCCTTGTACTGGGAAACAGACACCAGCCTCCCTTGCGTGACTGTGGGGAGCATCCCCAGGTGTGTTTAAAAAAGGCAGGTAGGCAGAGGCAGTGCTGCCATGGAGAGGGGAGCTGCGGACCTCACCTGCAGGCTCTGCCAATTCCTGCCCAGTACCCAGGGCTGGTCCTGGTCACATGGTGGCAGAGTGGGTATCTACGGGCCTGGATGCCAACCAGTACCACTCGCTGCCCCAGGCAAGCGGTGGCCCCAGGCCTTCACCCCCAGCCTCCACACTGGTGGGGGTGAGGGGACAAGCCGGTCTGCACCTTGGCTTCCTGCCCCTTCATCCAGGGCCGCTGGGTCGCCTTTCAGGTTGGGCCTGGGATGACAGAGCTGCAGCCTCACCCAGAAGCAGGCACACAGTTCCTGAGCTCAGCCAGGGAAAGCTTGGTCCCAAACCAGAGAGGTGTCCAGAAAGGAAATGGGATCAGGCAGAAAGAAGAGGGTGCGTTGGTTTTGACAGAAAAGAAGCTATAAATCTATCATTTGGAAAACCTGAAGTCCCCCTGGTCCCTTTATACCATGAGTTCCCCTTCTTCCTGTGAAAAGGTGATGCTCTCTCCTCAGATTCCCTCTGCCCACTTTGAAGTCTCTTGGGGGAGCCTCTGGGGCCCTGTTTGGCTGGGAGAGGGGAGCCCAAGCAGCGTTCTCCCTCATGATTTGCAGACCCTCTAAAGTGAAGGGTGGTTTTCTTAACTTTTTCTGTTTTTCTTTTTAAAATGTAATCGCCCTTGAATGCAAGACCCTGGCAAGAGCCCGGCCTTGCTGGTAACTGGACACAGCCCTCACGGTCCCTGCTTGCTAGCTGTCTGGGCTGGAGGCGGGAACTGGTGGCCTTGTGCCCAGGAATGCTTCTTTGGCTGGTTCTGATCGTGTTTGGAGTTTGGCCTTGGGTGAGGCCCGAGCGAGGGGTCTGTGTGGCTACGGCGTGGCACGTGACATGCGGGCAGCGTGCATGCGAGGGTGCAGGCATGCGACACAACATGGCAGCAGACAAAAATAATGAACCCTGGACGAAGCTTGAGAAGAGATACAAAGAGTATGGAAACCCGGTTCTCATACTAACCCCCGGGTTACAAACTAGGTTGTGCTGTAGATTTGTAGAAAATCACGTTTCGAAAGAATGGCACTGTTGGGCAGCTGCAGCTCCCAAGGCCGGCCTGACTCCTCCGTCCACGGTGAGTGCCCAGAGGTGCAGGACGGCGCTGGTTCCAGCTCACCCGGGACTGACCGAGGCTCCCCCCGGGTCCCTGCCCTCCTCCCCCAGCACCAGGGGCACTCGCTGGAGAGGACATGGCCAGAGAGGTGCTGCGGCTCAAAGGGCTGGCAGAGGCCCCACTGCTCGGAATGACGTGGCTGGTCTATGCCTCTTCCTCTCCTGAAGACACCATCAGCCGCATGGCCACTGGAAGGTGGTCGGTCAGGCCAGACAGCTGGGTGATAAAACTGAATTCTTCCACCTCCTGTTGGGGAGAAGCATCCCTATTAGATCCAGAGGGTATCCTGCAAAGGAGGGGCCTGGGGAGCAGGGGTGGGGCCACGGGATGGCGGGGTGGGAGCATCACATGGGCCCCAGGGTCTCTGGGACTGACCGATCTCGTTTTCAGAGGTGAGCTCCGTGCTGTTGAGGGGTGCAGAGCAAGGGTCCCCTACCTACAGGCTGAGCCTGGCTGCCTGGCCCACCCCAGACTCACGGCCTTCCAGTCCGGGCACAGCCCCTCCTCCGCATATAGCATGTAGTCGATGCGCCTGCCGTTGCCCTTGAGCAGGTCCTTGCGTCCCTTCTGGCCCACCCCGGGGCTCTTGCTGGTGGGGAAGGCCAGGTACTCCCTGCGGCCTTCCTCGCTCTCCAAGACCCTGCTCGACACACAGGAAGGCACAGAAAGCAAGGTGAGCCCCTTGCCCCCTTCCCCAGGCCCCAGATCCCGAGTGTGGAGACACGTTCTCTGTTTTGTTTTTTTTAAAGATTTTATTTATTTGAGAGAGAGAGAGAGCATGAGAAGGGGGAGGGCCAGAGGGAAAAGCAGACTCCCTGCTGAGCAGAGAGCCTGATGTGGGACTCATCCTGGTGGGACTTATCCTGGCGGGACTCCAGGATCATGACCTGAGCCAAAGGCAGTTGCCTAACCAACTGAGCCACCCAGGCACCCTGGAGCCACGTTCTCATCCCCAAGGGAGAGAGAAGCAGGTCAGACCAAACCCAGTGTTTTAAGACCTGTCTTCCCTGTGGAGCCAAAAAGGTCCTGGGGTGGAGGGAAACTCAGTGTGAGCCTGTGAATTCCTGGCTGATCCGTGCCACTCCAGAGTCTGTCCAGGAATGTCCCATGTCCACTTTGGGCTTAGCTGTGACTGAAGTTTGGACACAGCATTGCCCAGAACCTGGGGCCGAGTCAGGGACAGAGGTGCAGAACAGAGCTTTGCTCAGAGCCACTGGGGGGGCCTGTTTTGGGAAAGGGTCTTTGCAGGGAACCTCAGGGACTTCTCGAAGTCCTCAGACCTCCTGGGATTGTTGTTTCAGGTCAGCAGGGGGCTGGGTGAGGCAGGAGGGCACCCAGGCCCTATCCCAGTACTGGATTCCTGGGTCCATCTAGCTCTGAGCGGCTGTGCCACCCAACCCCTGAGCTCTCCTCTGACACAAGGATGATCACCATGGGCCCCAGGACACTTTGGGGACCAGGCATGCTGAGAAAGGAACAACGTGGTGGTGGTGGGGGGTGCCTATAGGAAGAGCATGTGACTCTTGATCTTGAGAGAGTGAGTTCAGGCCCCACATTGGGTGTAGAGGTGACTTAAGTAAAACTTGGAAAAAAAACAAACATAGGATGTGTCTGCCATCCCATTCCTTGGAGGAAGGAAACTATGTAGGTGCTTAAGTGTGGGTCAAGGTTCTACACGATGTGCAAGGTGCTCAGCTGGGGTGTTAACACCCTGAATCCAGGTCTTTTGACTTCCTGTCTGCTGTTCCCTTCCTGCCAGGTTTCCTCTGCAGCCTGAGCACCCGCGGTGAAGAGCCTTCACGGGAGACTTGCAGAGGGCAGGCGCCGACAGACACCGCACAGACCCGCCAGGCTGGCTCATGCCGGAACCCATGGAAGGGGCGCCTGGATGCGCACAGCCCGCAAACATGGGTTCCTACAAGGTCTTTATCAGCCCTGAGATAAATACACTAATGACATGCAGAACATCATTACATCTCAGAAATATAATCCATTACTGTCCTTTGCCTTTGATAATTAATTCCAGCATCAATGATCTAAGAGTTACTGATAGTCATTTTTTAATCATCTCATAAAAAGATAATTTTCTCGGCATAGGATGATGTTTCAAATTTAGTCTATAATCTAATTAATTGGCTCAAATTAGCTGTGAGGAGCCACTGCCATGACTCTGTGCAGTCTCAGGCTGTGAGTTATAAATTGGTTCTGCTGCTGGCCTCTCAAATGTGCCCTTTATGGAAGTCTCATCAGATTTAAGTATGAAGTTCGGCTAGGATGGAACTGTCTCTACTTCGAAAACACTGGTCTGTGTTAGCTCCGCTCGTATTTTAATTTGCCTAATTTGTGGGTACCAGCTGCCAGGGTCCCTGCAACACAGGCCATCCCCACGGCCCTTCCACAGGGATCTCGGCAGCCCTGGCCTCGCCCTGGGGGGTTCTGGGCCCTTTCCTGTTCCTGGAAGTGCCTCAACAGGATGGGGCGCAGGGCAGGCCAAGTTCTTCCAAAGTGAGCCCGGACTCTAGTGCTGATGTAGGAAATGCCACCTCGAGCCCCTTGTCTTGGTGGGAGGCTTCTCCGTGGGAGGACCAGCCCCCTGGGGCGTGAGGGTGGCCCAGTTTCCACCCACCCCAGCTTCAGTCCCTGAGGTCCTCACAGGCTTCTTTCCCATGGAACTGTGTTCTCTGCTCTGCCCAGCACGACCCAGCTCCCCACACCAGAGTCGGGGCTCAGTGCTCATCCCAGCCCCAGGAGCCACCCTCCCCTGCCCGACCGTGGCGGCATGGCTGCTGGCTGCTTACTTTTGCAGATTGTCAGGGGTGCAAACTTCCTCGTCGTAGAGGTTGTCTGTGTCCAGCAGGGTACCTGGGCATGAGGAGGTGAGAGTGGTCACTGTGGGCAGGGCCCAACCAGCCTCTAGGAGGGCTGCCTCCCTGGGGTGGGAGGTCTGAGTGAGGCTTCAGGCCTGGGCAGCTGACTTCCCCTGCCCCTTGCAGTGGGGTCTTGGGGGCAGGGCCTGGAGTCTCCCTGGGAAGCCTGCAGGGAGCCCAGCCTTGGTGTAGTGTCAGGCCTTGGCATGGTGGGCTCAGGCCTCAGCGGTGCCCCTCCCCTCCCCCGGCCCCCCTTGGTGCCCCCACCCTCAACCCTCTGCCCCCAGCCCCAGCTCACCGATGGCCCAGGACTTCTCCTCTCCGGGCCCCAGGCGGCAGGGGTCCTTGTAGTGTGTAAACAGGGAGTGCTGCTGCTCCAGCTTGTCATCTGTGCAAGCAGGGAGAGGGGGGCTGCTGTGGGGCACAGGGTGTCTGTCCTCAGGGCTGCCTGCCTCTGCTTCTAGTCAGTCATGCTGACCAGATGCCACCGAGTCCCTCGGCTAACTGCCTCTGGGTGGGCTCTGTGGTCTGAGATGAACCTGCGGTTCATTTGTCACTGGTTTTCTGTGTCCTTGAGAAAGCACCCTCCCAGCCCTGGGTTGAGCTATCCTTCTGAGGACAGTGGTCGCTGTCCCCCTTGGGCTCTCTCTGGGTGCTCCTGCCTTCACAGCCCTGGGTGCCCAGGCTGAGTGAGGAGTGAACCTACAAGGCTCAGAGGGAGAAGTGACCTGCCCCGGATTCCAGTTTGTCCAGCCAACTCATGGAGCCAGACACCCCTGGGAGGAAGACAGGCACCAAGTGGGGCCCGACTGGGTGGAACTCTCCAGCAGCCTCTTTGTGTGCCATGTTCCCACCCTGACTCGGGAAGATCCCAGGAGCACCCAGCATTTGGCGCTGGTCCCAGGCATGTGACTTTGAGGGCACCGCAGGCTGTAGCCTGGGGCTGTGTGTTCCATGGCAGGCACTGTCCCTCACCCACCCTGGAGTTGCCACTGTGGTCAGGGGTTGATTTCCGGATCAGGAACTGATAGAAACAGCTGCCACCAGGTAAGGGCACCACCCTGTGCTCCAGGTGGGACCTTCAGGTGTCCTGCCTTCACTGAGGGCTAAGCCTGAGCTCACAGACCCCATGTCACTCACGCATCTTTGGTTTCTCCTGGGGCTTCAGCTGTTGTGGAAGGAGCCCAGGAGCCATTGGGTGGGGTGGGGTGGGGGTGGGAGTGGGGGTTCCTCCCATCAGCTCCTTGGGCTGAGGGAAGCTCAGAGCTGCCCAAGCTCCCAGGAGGTCCCTGAGATCAGTGTGATCACCAGATTAGTTAAGTCGATTATTTAAAAGTTTGCCCATGATCAATTTTTAGTCTTTTAGCCTAATGGTTAAAGGCATAATTGCCAGGGTTCAAATCCCAGTTCAACCATGTCCTGGTTGTGTGACCCTGGACTAGTGACTGGGCCTGTCTGGGTCTCTGCTTCCTCTTCACCCCTGCAGATCAGCACCGTGCTCACTCTCAGGATTGTTCTGAGATTTAAATGAAACAGCCGTTAGAATCGTGCCTGGTGCAAAGCAAGAGATGACTGAGGACTTGGTGGGTAGTGTTAGCTGACTCGCGCATAGTCTGAGTTTCAGAGGCCCCGAGGCTTCTTTGTCAGAGGTTCATTTTTAGGGCATCTCTTTGTCTCCAGTAAGGAGGCCTCTAAGCTTTCTAGGCAGAGCGTGGGCTCTTCTCATTTTAGGATTTCTAGGGGGCAGAGAAATCCTAGTCTTGCTAATATCTCACCCACATGCTCACAAGGAGCAGGAAGTTCTTCAAGCTGCAGAACCCAAGCTTTTCCAGCCGTGCCTGGAGCCCATGGCCGCCCCAGCAGCCGACCTGACTGGGCAGGACCACCGCCTCACCTGAGGAGCAGTTGTCAAAGTTAAAATCTCCGCAGATGACATCAAACGCCACCAGCTCCTCGGGGTTGGCTGTGCTGGACGAGGAGGTAGATTTTCGGAAATCAGCCAGCCAGTCCTGAAGCAGGTCCAGCTGCTCACACCGGATGGCACTGTCCTCTGTGGGGCAGAACCAGAAAGATCAGATGGCAGAGCTGCAGTCAGACCCCAGTCAGGCCCCGGCGCTGGCTCTAGCCTGCGGCGGGGCGGACTGCCCACCCCCTGGAAGGCCCGGGCCACCAGACCCTACCTGGCAGGGCATGCAGGTGCGTGCAGGAGATGTACCCGACAATTCTTTGGTCCTGAGGTGTGCTTCCCACCTGCACCTGTTGGGGAGGAGGTGAGGTATTGATGAAGTCTTCATTGCTCTGAGTACAAGCCCATCTCTATCAGCTCCTGGCTTGACTTGGGCCCAGGTAGGTACAGCACATGTCATGCTTCTAGGAGCTTCTGGTCCAGTGTGGGAGGCAGATGTATCAAGGAATACCAGCCTCTGGCATGGTAAGCGCCACTAGTAATTCATGCAAGGCTTTATAGGAGGAAAAATGCAGAAATCCCCGCTCATTTCTTCCCTGTCCTGGTGCCCAGAGTGTCCATGTGAATGACCCTCATGTACCAGCCCCTCAGTTCCTTGTCCACTCCTGAGATGGCTCTTTCCCCCTTGTCTTAGTCACAGCCTAGACCTGATCCCACCCTGCAGCCCGTCCCTCCGAAGTCCAAGTCAGACTCCCCTCTGGGAGCAGCGGAGCCACAGAGCCTGACACCCTTCCCAGCACGGAGATGACACTGTCTCCTCAGCCTCTGCCCCTGTGGCCTCAGGAGAAGCCACTTCATCTGCTTTTTGGCAGTGGTTCCTGTTGGTTCCCTGATATGGGATGACAGCTGTGGCCTGTGTCTCCATGGCACCTGTGTCATGGGCTGACCTCAGGTGCCCCCTGGCCTCTGCCCAGAGCCCAGGCCTCCTTCCTCCACAGCAGCCTCTGCAGGCCTTCATGCTGCACTCTCCCCAGACCTCAGCCTTTGCCTCCTGCTCACTAGGGGAGTCCCCAGGGGGTGGAATGGGTCTGGGGGCTCCTCTGAGACTCCCTGCCCAAGTGCAGATGATCCTGGTGGGCTCTCTCCATAGGCTGGTGTCACATCACAGACAACCCAAAACAGCCCTCCGTGGTGACCGTGCTGCAGGCCTGAGCCCTTGTCGGGGCTGTGGTCGTGGAGGTAAGTGATGCTGCCCAGCCCGCAGCTCTCCCAGGCCCTCTGGCCACGGCCCAGCTGCTGGAGGCCAGAGGGGGACGTTGCCCCTCCCCTGCCAGGCATGCTCCTTTGGATCATCTGTGGATGCCTTTCCCCAGAGGTCTCTTTCCCTCTGGGCTTTCTTCCCACCTGAACCTCAGCAGTCTTCCCCGAACTTCTTTAATTTGTTCCAGAATGGGTTTTCTATGATGATGAGATCCTGGAGTCTGGGAACCGTCCAGGGAAGGTGAGTGGAGAGGCCAATTCGTGGCTGGGGGACATACATCTGCTGAACATGACCCTGCCCATCCCCCAGCTAAGAGTGGCCTGGATTTGCCACCGCTGCCACATCACAGGCCCTCCACTCTGACAGCCTTGGGAGGCTTCCCTTTCTTGTTGCTGCCAAAGTCAGGTAGGCATTATTCTCCTCCATCTGGGTTTTCACATCATTAAGTGTTCTTAGCTTTCGATAGCTCTTCATCTCCTTTCCCAGTCTGGATGGATGTACATCTCTCCTTTCCCAGCGCCCAGAGAGATGAACATCTGGTGACTTGAAAATGGGCAGTACAGCCTGGTTTGGGGGCTGCTTATAAAGTCCCATGTTCACCATTCACTTCTTGCCCACAATCCAGACCCAAACCTCGGCCTTTCAGTACCGCCACCCCTGCAACGTCTCGGGAAATCACATACCATTGATGTGCTCTGTTGCAAAAACACAACACGGTTTTAAAATCACAGTGCCCCCAAAGGCCACACGGTGGCGCTCTTGCTCCCTGTATTCCTGGGGCAGTGCGTCTGTTCCACCTGAATAATAATAAACTGAGCACTAGTGCTTGGTATTTCATGGACACTGCTTTGCTAGAGCCTTACAACAGGTCGGAGGGTTATACAGTTTATACTAAAATTATACAAGAATTGGCTTGGGGTCACGAGGCTCTGTCGGCTGAGGCCGGTTCACATCAGATGTTTGCTGCCCCAAGCCCAGTTCCTCACCCTACTCTCCACTGCTTTCTCAACTCCTGGTGACCTGGCAGGCTTTTCACCAATTCGATGGTCTTAGTGTGTCATCCCCTCACTCACTGGGCACTTGGTGTCACCTGCCTGTGCTGACACTGGGGCAGGGACAGTGGAGGTACCACTCAGCCCTTCCCCCCCCCGCCCCCAGAAAACAGCCCCTGCTGCCTGTCCCTCAGCGCAACTTGGCCCCTCCCGTGACTTCCCTGCTCTCTGTCAGCCCCGTCAGCCCTGTGAGCCCCGTGAGCTGCCAGGATCCGCTTCCCTACGTGCTTGGACTGACTGATTCTACTCTGGCTTGAGTCCTCGGGAGTGGCAAAGGTTTGTGTGTCTCTTGCAAAAACAATCACATCAAGAGGCTGTGCCTCTTAGTCCTGGTGGTTAGAGACTGTCCACAGAGAAGGGGCCCAAAATCATGCTCTCCCCGACGTGAGCAGGAGCGATTCCAGTCCCTTCCTCCTCAGGGTGCACAGTAGCAGGAAAGCGCCTTTTCCTCAGGCATAGATGCGTCATGGGGGGAGGAGGGATGCAGATGAAGGGAGCACTGACCTCCACCTGCAGCCAGGGCCTAGCCCCTGGCCTGTCTCCTGAATCCTCATTTATTTCACTCCTCCAGGCAGGAGAAGCAGGCCCGCTCTCACCAACAGATGAGCTGGGTCTGCTGTGCACAGGGCTCAAATGGCCCATTCTCATTTCTGTCTGACTGGAGAGACAGAGAGCAAGATGGCTGGGGACCAGGGCTGAGGGTCCCACAGAGGGACAGCCGGCTGTGGAAGCTCTGCAGAGGCTGTGTGGCCAAGCCAGGGCGGGGCCAGGACAAGGGGAGCTGGGTACGGAGGCCCCCCGGGGGAGTGGGGTGCCGGAGCAGAGCCCAGGGCAGGTGGAGGGGCCCAGCTGAAGGCTGGGCTTCTCCCTGAGGCAGCAGGAAGAGGGCAACAGGAGTCAGACCTGGGGTGGGAGGGGGATGGGGTTGGGAGGGGAAGGACAGCCCCAAACACAGGCAGATGTGGAGGAATGGCAGCCTGGGCCATGATAGTGCAGCTGGGGCTTGGGGGGGTGGACCCAGATGTATTTGGAAAGTGAAATGAGGAGCCTGGATGCAGAGGCTCAGGGCACAGGGAGGAGTCAAGGTGGGCATGGTGGAAACTGGCTGATGGAGATGGGCAGATGATCAGTGAAAGGGGACTGTGTCCAGGAGGCAGCCAGACGTGGAGCTGGGGGCCCGGGGGAAGAGATGGGGGCTGGTACAAACTCGAGAGCCCTCAAACAGGTGTGCACGTGGAGTCTGTGCAGCGACTTCCCCAGGTGGGTGAGTGGGGCTGGCATGGTGACCACGTGGAAATGAAGAGGCCTACCCACGTGGGGTTGGGGCGCCCTGCTGTGGGGGCTGCCAACCCTCAGCTAGGGCTGAGAGCTGGGCAGGAGGCAGGAGGCCCGCCAGGTGCTGTCAGATCTGCGAGGTGGGAGGGAAGTTGCCGACAGGATTTTATATGGAATATCTTGATTTTTAAATGTTGGCCAACACAGGAAACTTGTTGGTGTGGACCAAATTAAGCATATCTGCAGAGCAGTTTTAGGCTAAGGAGCAGACGGAGCATCAGCAGTTAAAGGCTGGGCAGGGGACCAGGGGCCTGGAAGGAATGGCCAGAGAGGTAAGAAGAATGTCCGCAGCAGAGAGACCGTCCCAAGAGACTGTTGTGGCCCTGGCGGGCATGGTGGTTGGGGTGCCAGACCAAGGAGGGAGATGAGGGTGTCGGCTGGGGGCAGGGCCAAGGGGGTCCCCAGCCTCTGAACCATCTGTGGTAGAGTGGGTGGGAGGGAGAGGGTACACTCTCCTCCTGAGCTTGACAACACATCCCCTCCTTCCCCCAGAAAGTCACTCCAGCTGCTGAGACAAAAATATATCCGAGGAACAGAACATTGATGAACCATATGCCAAAATGGGGAGGTAAGAGGAGCTCACTCAGTTTTAGCATCTCAGGCTGTGAGAGGAGAGTCAAGGACCTCCAACTCTGGGCCTGCAGAGCCACACAGGAACCACTGAGCACTCTGGAGTGGGGTCTGGGTCCTGCGTCAACTGGCCAAACGTTTCTTCCCCAAACCCTGGAAACGCTGAGAGTGGCTTTTGCGTAGGGAACAAAAAGTCAACACTCGGTGCGTTGTCAGACTCAGTAGAAGACAACGGGTAATGACCAAATTACCACGGTCTAAAAACTCCTGCAATTGCATCCAAATTAGCAGAAATAATTATGATTCCCTTTAATTAGTGGCTACGGGAGCAAAGCCTTGGGCTGGTGGGCAGAGTGCCTGGCACGGCAGCTGCGTGACCACCGGGAGGGAGGGCGCATCCGGCCTGTGAGGCTGCGGGCCTAAGCGAGTGGGCGTTGGCCCCTTCATGGACAGGGGCCCCCTGCCTCCTCCTCTTCCCTTTATCACTGCCACCCTGACCGCCGGCACCGCAAGGACCCCCCAGTCCTCAAGCTCACTTCCCGCCCTATGAGTGGGCACCAGGCTGCCCCCACTTTACAAATGAGGAGATAATGGCTCAGAGAGCTGAGGAACTTGCCCGAGGGCACCCTGTCCTCAGCCAGGCCTGTCTGAGTCTGGACCCTCAGCCCTTGTCCCCGAGCTGGGTGCCCACCGGTTCAGCTCCATGAAAGGCCTCGCCTGCCCCCAGCCCTCCCAGAGTGTAAGGACCGCCTGGCTGCAGCTACCCGCCCCCCACCACCCCCACCCCGTGGCTCTACCACAGGCTGACCTGTGCCCGGGGACAGGGCCACGGCCTCCTACCTTGAGAAACAGCGCTCCTTTGGAGGCCAGGCCGTCGGAGCGCCGCCCGTTGGGGTAACAGTGATAGGCCACGTCCATGATGGGGTAGCGGCTGGCAAAGAAGAGGCCGCTGTTGAGACACTTGAAGCTGCAGCAGCCTTGGCAGCCGTAGACCCCGACGTCGTACAGAATGTACTCGAAGTAGCCATGCAGCTGGTCTTTCAACTTGGCGGCCGCCCGCTTGTCAAACACCTCCTGCAGACACAGGAAGTCCAGGTTGGCGGGGAAGAAAGCGGACACCTCGTGGTCAAAGGCCTCGTCCGGGTGCCGCCTCTTGCGCGCGGCTGCCTTCTTCGCCCCGGAGGCCTTGTAGGGGAGCTTGCTGTTGGTGGCGCCCGGCTCCCCGCTGCCGCCGCTGTCCGCTGCGGCCCGCACCTTCACCAGGGACTCCCTGGAGGCCGAGGGGCTGCCCGGGCTGCCCAGGCTCCCCGAGTCCCCGTCCTGTTGACTGTGGTTGGGCGTCTGGCCCTGTGGGGCCCTGCCAGCCCCATTCCTGGCTTGGCCCCCAGTGGCGGCGTCATCGGCTTCGGGGGGCCGGCCCCCCTCCTCGCCTCCACCTCCAATGCGCACGATGCAGGCGTCCTCCAGGCTACTGCCCTCGGCCGCCTCCCCAGAGGCCGGGCCGTTGGCAGCCTCGTCACCCTTGTATTCCACAGAGGCCGTCCTCTTAATGCTCCCAGGGACGGCCCGGGCCACGCCATCGCTGCCCTGCGGTGACACCAGGCTGCTGAAGCTGGCCGCGCTGATGGAGGTGTTGGTGGGTGAATCAATGTAGATTTTGATCTGGGGCCGACTGGCGCCGTTGCGGATTCTGTGCCCGATCTCTTTGGCCCGCGCTTGGGTGTTGAAAACATTGTTGAGCCTGGCCAGCGAGTCTGGGAGGAGGCAGAGGTTGGCAGTGGCAAAGCAAAAGCTTTTGCCAGGACCCGTACCCTTCCATTCACTGAGCAGGGCCGCACCACCAGCCGGGCCCTTGTCCTCCAGCCGGGAGTAGATGTAGAGTCGGCGGGCGGACTGCAGTGGGGACCAGAGGAGGAACCCGACAAAGGCGAAGGGCAGCGAGGCAACTAGGAGGGCCAGGTAGACGGGTGTGAAGAGCACGGTGCAGAGTAGCTGGAGGTAGCACGGGTCGTCCGCCCGCTGGCGCTTCTCGTAGGTGGTGGGGATGAAGGAGGCCACGAGCCGGTCCGCCAGCCAGTAGCATGGGAAGAGGAGAGCCCAGGACACGGCGTGCAGGGCGGACAGACAGCTATTGGGAAAGGGGGCTGTGTACAAAACCATCGCAGCTCACTGGGCGCCGCAGCCGGCCCTACTACATGGTGTCTGTGGCAGCGCGGGCACTTTCCTGTGAGGGGTGGCGGGGGGAGCAGGTGGAGGAGGGGTCACCTCCTGGTGAGCTGCGTCTCCAGGTGGTCAGTGGTGAGTGTTGGCCAGCCAGTCATGGTTCACCTCAGGGGGCCATACTGGGCCACCAGGGCCTGCAGGAGAACCTGTAAGACAGAAAATAAGGGGGCTTTACTCAGCCTTAGGGGAGCTGGTTGGATGCTGGGGCCACTCTCTCCTTCACGCTGTTCCTGCTTCCTCTGTCAGAAAGCAGGAGTATTGTTTGCCTGTGTGTGTTTGGTTTTCTTGAAGTAAACAGCTTGGTGACGTGACCACGTCTAGCTGTCCATCTTCATCTTGTAACCTAACTGCTCAAAAACGGACCCCGGATTTTGGAGGGGCCTAGCTTTGTGGGCATTTAGGAGGCAGGCTGGGGATCCTGAAGGATGCCTGGGCCTGATGCTGGCCTGGAGCAGCCAGAAGCCCATTAGGAGCCAGGGGTGTGCCTGGAATGGGCAAGGGGTGACCCTGATTCAGAGGAGCCTCAAACATACCTGCTTGTCACTGAGTGTCCTTCAGGTCAGAACAGAGAGGGAGCACACAGCAGAGAAATGGGGTCAAAGAGTCCTGGGGTGCAGGGCAGTGTGGCTGGCAGGAGGACCCCTTACAGGAGGGCCCTACCCACAACCGGGCTCTCACTGTGCTGATCCTGCAGCATCAGCCCGCCCTTGCACTCCCACCCCTGCTGACCCCCACCAGAAATCCCTGACTGGCCAGGATCCTGGCACTGCCCCTGCCTTACCAACTTCCGGAACGATGGTCCCTGTGACTTTTGGAGAAGCATCCTGGGGCTGTGAGGATCTGGCCCAAGCTTCTCCCCTAAGCCTGAGATGCAGCCCCGGGGCCCAGCTGAGGCCCACAGCTGGAGGAATGAGTCCCCCCCGTCCCCGGAGGGCGTGAGCCTCAGACCAGGCCTTAGGGTCTGGCTGCAGTTACTGCCTAGCAGAGGCCCCTAGCTGCAGTTACTGCGCTGAATGTAGCATCAATAAAGACAAGAGTCTGGAGTGTTGGCCCAGCCTTCAGGGACCTGTGGGAGATCATTCTGTGGTGAAGCTGGTATAAGCATCATCTCAAGTCTTCATTACCCGAACTGTTGGTGGATTCACTTCCTGGTCATCGTCTCCCCGACCCAGTCTAGCCTCTGCCCTGGTGCCACGTTCCATCCATCCTGGCCCCACTGCCTGTCTTCCTCCTGCCTCCCTAGTCACTGCAGCCAGGCTGGGTGCCATCCGGGTTCTGCCTCCCCCAGTCCCCACATTGCATCCGCCCCGCCCCTGGAGCCCCTGGGCTGGTCCACGACTGCATCATGCTTCACCCGCTTTCTTGGCTGAGTCTCCATCAGGCCATCTTCCATTCAGTGGCTCGAGGGATTCTGTCCGGTCTGACCATCCCTCAGATACCCCAAACCCTCGGAAGCCTCTCTGGGCCCTTTTTAGGCATCTTGTCTCCCAGCCAGGCCGGCCGTGTCTGCAGCCCTGTCTCCCTTGTGCCCAGTTCCCACTCAGTGGGATGTGGTTTCCTGTCCGTGCCCTGCCCCTCACCTAGCTCACCCCTTTTCTTCTAGACTCAGCTCAGAAATCACCTCCTCAGAGAGGCCTTTTTGCCGCCTTTTGTCAGCTGGTGTAAGTACCTCCACTGGGGGCTCCTGTCCCCATTGTGCATGGCCTGCGCTCTGCAATTCTAGGTCATAAAAGCTCATGGAACACGGCCACTTCCCCAGCAGACTGGGAGCTTCCTGGAAGAAGGGGCTGCATCCAGGGCATGGGGGGTCCTGGGGCTGCACCAGCAGGAGCTCAGGAAATAGGTGGGTGAATGGAAGTCAATCTGCACTGCCTCTAAGCCTAAGGTGTGTGGGGGGGGGCGGGGGGGGAAGGGAGGATTTCCCGGATGCACCTGTCATCTAAGTGCACTCCCATGGCCACATCTCCAGGGCTGATTTAGTGGGGACGAGGTGCTTGTCCCAGACCAGAGCTTAATGTCTAAAGATGAACTTTAGCTGGTGTCTGTGTCTGGTTCTGGAGAATACATTTCACAAGGATTTTACTTTCTTCAGGGGAAATCGCTTTGAAGGAAACACCAGAAGGTTACAGTTTGGGGAAGCAGGTGTGTCTACTCAGACCACAGCTGTCTGGCCAGGAGCCATGGGAAACAGTTCCTTTGCAGATAGCTCTGCACTGCGCCTTGGTTTAATCGGGGAAAAGCATGCCATCCGCCTGTGGGCAGGTGGACCACGTGGCTTTGTCTGGTGCTGTAGTTGCAAAGCCTCTCACTCAGGTGCAGGCAATGAGGCTCACCGTCAAGGATGTTGGTGAGGGCAGAGGGCCAGCCTTCCCGCTGGGGCAGGGGTGGGGAAGCTATTTCAGAGGATGGGAGGAGACTCCTGACATCCTGCCCTGGAGTCCCAGACCGGACAGTGGCCTTCACCACCTTCTCCAAACCCAGCCTGAGTCCTGGTCTCCGAAGGCCAGGCTCTGTGTGGGGGGTGCCCTAACCTCCATGGCCTTTACTTTGGGGTCTGCTGATTCAGAGGTCCTGTGAACTGAGGCCCTGAGACCAATTTTATAATGACGGTGGCTGAAATTGGAGGGTTTGTTGCAGGCCTGCTGACCCTCTGTGCACGTGATTTTTAATACCCCAGCAGAGCTCTATCACCTCTGTGGCCCAGAACTCATGACTCAGTACTTAGAGGGGCTATGGCTGTCCAGTCTTCCCATGCCTGCCATCTGCCAGACGTACATATTCTTTCTTTAAAATCCCAGCAGTTTCATTTAAGGGTAACCCGAAGTTGGCTGCCCTCCTCTGAGCTGATGGGTTTGGCTGCCTTTGGCCCTTCTTAGCTCTTTCCTCCTCTTCTCTGTGGCCCAAGGTCACCAGCCCAGCCAACACCATCTTCAGCTGAGTGCCCGCCCCACCCCGTCACTGTCCCCCTGTCCTCTGTCTCAGGCCACAGTGTGCACGGAGGTCAGAAGAGCCTCCTAAACAATCTGATTACATCCTCCCTTTGGCGGTCCTGTTGTCTTGGAGGAGAAAGTCCAGTCTCCCAGTCTCTAAGGGCCCTCTGTGCTCCTGCCCCCATTTCCTTCCCCAGCCCCACCCTGGAAGGGCCCCTAGCACCTCAGAGGTTGATGCAGCCTCGCTTCATCCAAGGACTCCTGAGAAAAATTCCCAAACCTTCTGTTCTCCCCTGTGGCTCATCCCTAACACTGGCTGGGCAGGGTGGGCATCTGCCACCAGCTGGGACAGAGCTTTTAGTAGGGCCCTGTCCCCTCTTCAGCTGCCCTGTGTCCAGCTCACTTTATGTTGGGGCCCCAGAAACCCTTCTGGGCAAGTTCCTCCCCAGCCCCGCCTGCAGCAGCAGTGAGCGGCCAGGCCTTGTTCTTTCTGCTTCCCCTGGGCTGGTCACAGGAATGTATTTGGTCTCCACTCAGCCATCAGTGGGTTTGAGGTGGCTGGCAGCCCAGGGGGCCCACCACAGTCCTCCGAGATGGGGCAGCTCTGAGCCTCCCAGCTCTTCATGGCTACCTGGGTCCCCCGTCCAGCCCCCTCCCCTGCTCACCACCCCTCAGCACCCGGGGCAGAAGGGGCCTTTGGGTGCCGCCCACCTGCTCCGCAGGCCGTCCCTGCATCTGTGCCCAGGGGCTGCTAATGCAGTTGACACAAAAGGGTTTGCTACTGATGGAGCCAGTTTCTAAAGCTCTGTGGTTAATTATTTTGTCTCAGTGAAATAAAAGGAGGGTAAACAAACAACAACACATTAATTAGTCTGATCTGCACTTTCCCCATGAAAGAGGGGAGTGGGAGCTGAACACCAGAGGCTGGGAACTTCTCGGTGAGCCTTAGAGTCGTGGCGGTGGGGCGGGGGGGGGTTGTGGCAGAGCGGGATGTAGCACAGGGGCCCAGTCTGCACCCTTAGGCCTTTGTCTCGCCTCCACCCCCTTGGCGGGGCAGGACATAGTGGGTGGCCCGGCCCAGGCTCTGCCTCCGCCAAGGAATGCCTTCCCCCACCCCTCCATGCCCCAGCTCTCTGCTTTCCTGTCCCGGAGCTGGCTTCTTTATCAAGCCAAGCCCACCACGGGCATCTCTGATGAGGGTGACATATGTGCTGAGTGGTAGTCACTCAAGCCCGTACACTGGATTGCGCTTTCAGTTTCCTATTTTAAAGTAACAATTACTCCTGGGTTTCTCCCCATTGTAAGTCCTGGTGTGGGGCTTCCTGGTTGCTCAGGATGTCCGATCCTCCTCCCCTGCCCCAAGGCCATGGTCTCCAGAGCTGAGCTTGCGTCCCAGACACCCTCAGGTCCTCGTGGTAACTCCTGAGCCCTAGGATCAGTATGGGGGGCTACCCAGTGCCCCAAGGGAAGGCTCCTGGGAGTCAACCTCAGGCTTGCCGCCTCACTCCCCGCTGCACCGCTCACTGCTCAGCTTGGGCTCAGGGACCTGTCTCGTTATCTCTGACATGGGGGTAGCAATACCAGCCTCCCAGGGCTAATCGTGAGGCTTTATCCTTCCCTACCTCCCGTCCTCTTCCTTGTAGGACCTCCCTGACCACGCCTCAGCTGAGGTTGATTCCTGTGTGTCCTGGCTGCTCACACCCTGACCTGTGGATTCGGTGGATTTTGAAGAGGGGACAAGCTGGTTCTGTGCACAGTGCTGGGGGCAGCCGGAGCCCACCCACCAACCCTCTAGGCTCCTCATTGACCTGCGGTACCTTCAGATCCTCAGAGACCCATCCACACCGTTCAGGCTGGAGCTGCCGGCCTTCACTAACGTGTTCCTTCCCCTACAGCGAGGACTGGACTGGGCCTGACCGTGACCAGGAGCCTGAGCTGCAGAGCCATGACAGACAGAGGGGGCAGATCGGTTCGCAGGCTGGTCCAGCCACGGGGGGAACTGGCCCGGGAGGTTTGGGGGCCAGAGAACCGTAAGTCCAGATGGGAGAAGAGGTGGTCACAGGCTGGCCTGGGAGGTCACGGGCCAGTGACTCCTGGGCAGGTATGGGGTGTTGACGGACAGAAGCTCCACACCAGAGTTGCTCCTGTGGGTTACTGGTATCTGTGGGGACCTGACCTGCTGCCACGACAGCACCAGAAGGGGAGACTTGGACGGC